CGATGCGTCACAGTAGTACTACTTTCAAAGACGCCCATAAAAACATTGCCATGCAGGTCTTTGATTTTCGAACCCAACGAAAGCGTGCGCGTTATGTATAGATTCTGGCTTCTGGCTGTTGTCAAAGTGAGAGGCTAATTTTGTTTACCTTCCGTGGCACAAACAGAGTAACACTGAGTTACACCTAGACACCTAGTAACCGTTATTCTGCGATGAAATTATTTTCTTTTGTAAATTATAACTATTTTACTGTTTTCAGTGTGTTTCAAAATAATCATTATCAGCTATGATAACATATATATTTTAAAACTTGTTTACCAGTATGAAGAAATCAACACTAGATACCTCTAATAACAAAAAACACGCAAAAATTACGCGTAGTAGAAGTCTTGTGGCGTTTCACCACAAAATGGCGGTGTGTTGTGGCAAAGATTCTACTGGTGTTCTGGCCGCAAGGATTTCTGGGAAGGAGAATGCTTATTACCCTACCATTCTCTGTGAAAGTAATACCAGTAATGGCGGTGGTGCCAGTAATCAGATCATAGAAACAAATATCATATCAGCCTCCAAAAATCACAGCTAATGTTTGTAACGAGATCAGATATTAAAGCGGGGAGAGTCGTCACCTGCGCAAGCGTCAGGTGGCCATAGCGTGTCATTGTTTACAAACAAGCGTCTACCCACGAGCTTTTACGCTTTTAGCGTGTGTTGTTATCATCGCTTGGGACACAATTCCCGCGCGTGCGCCTGCTGCTTTAAATGACTGTTCTAAAGGTCTGAGCTTACCTGCCGGCCCAGTCAACAGTTTCCAGTCACCAACGCGTATTGCCGCCAATGTGAATACATCGAAGTAGGGATTCGTGGACCATTTTTCTCTGCCGCGATCTACCGGTCTCAAGGCTTGTGAGTCGATTGTGTGTAAAATCTCGTGTCTTGGTGAAGCCATGCCTCGACTAAAAAACATATTTAAGAAAATTAGAATATCGGAGTGGTGTTGCTATATCTACCCCCTCTCTCCCTCCCTCTCCACCGATTTGTTTCATGTTGTTAGCCAATTTTAACTTGTTAATTTGTTGAACGTTTGTGAAAGTGTATGAGATACTAGACACTGCATACTCATAGTGCACACAAATGCTGAAACGTTGTCAACATATTTACTATAATCGACACAACGATCGTTGCTCAACTCGGTCACTGGGGATGATTTCGAGAGCGTGCCATAGAATATTACTTAATAACTCCGAACATGGATGGCGCTAGACCTAAACACGCACCTGATAGTATCCCATTGGTTAAACCCGTCCAGTGGCTTATCTAGAGTTGGCAGACCTCCCGCTAGATGCATGAACGTCGGAAACCAATCACTCATGTGAATAAGTCCATTAGTCATACCTCCCCGTACTTCTGGGTGTAGTAACGGACTGTTGACAAAACCCACGCCTCGAACACCACCCTCAAACAAAGTTGCTTTGGCGCCCCTAAGCGGCCAGTTGCTACCGATGAATTTAGCATCGGCACCGTTGTCTGAAAATCATACAAAATTACAGTTTGATAATACAATATTACAATATACATAACTCATAGTTATGTAATGTGTTGTGACGTCATATTATTTATAGTTTTTATTGAAGTGATGTGTGGTTTGAGTCTGTCAGGAGGCATCCTACTAAAGATTATTCTATTTTTAGAATGAACGCGGCTAAATAGCGTATATTCACTAAAGCATTACAAACTCATGAAAATGGCAAAAAGCAAATACTAAGTGGGGGTATCCAAACAATGACTCATCATTTTTTTTCCATTGTGTTAATGCCTAATAATAATTGCGATAATTTCCCCAGATTGCTACGGCGTACTATTAATTGCGGTGTTTTTTCCCAGTGTTAAGGCATCTTATTAATTGCAGTGATTTTCAATCGAAAATTTCTCAGACCACTTACAATTGAGGTTCAGAACTCAAAAAAACTAGTCCAGACATTTCGCTGGAATCTCGAATAAAAGGCCACATAAAACAATTTAGAAACCGTTCTGAAATACTTTATAGTAAGTGTTTGGCGCATGCAACCTGGAGTAATCGAACATGGGGTGTGTGGAATAAGTGTGCGGAAGGTATTTAGGTATTTTGGTCAAAAATACGATTACGCTTATATACAGAGAAAAATAAGCTTGGCAACAAAACTCATATCCCACTCATGCGTATATGAGCATCTGAACCAAGCATCTCTACAACCCGGAAATCTTTCCAAGTCGTTTTGATGTGCTATATATTTAACAACCAGATGTGTAGATCACATGTTACGTAACTAAAGGTCAAAATGATGCGTACCAGTTGAAAATATTATGATTGAATTGTCCCACATCGGCGATTCTCGCAAAGCTCGGGTAACGTTGCCAACGGCCTCGTCCATCGATGTCAGCATGCCGGCGTAGATTTTCCAGTCTTCGTTTTTCCCGAATACACCGTTATAAATATCCGAGTACTGCTTAGGAACTTGCAGCGGCATGTGAACGGCTTGGAAGGACAGTGTCAGAAATAGAGGCTGGAATGAAAAATACAGATACCCGAGTGAAACTATGATGCATGGTGTACATTGTATTTTAAAAAGTTGCGCCCTCTCCTGTGACGTATATATAACGTAAAAGGATGAAAACAGTATTGGTTTCCGCCTCAAGTGTCAAGGCGTACCAAGCCACAATAGACCGGTAACTGGTAACGGTTCCAGCATTCTGATTGGTCCATCACTTTCTTGTTGCTTGTTCTATTTGCCTTGGTTACCTGACGTAGCACTTACGCTCGTGACCGTTCAGGGGTTTCCTTTTACTTTCGAAAGTTGGGCGAATAAAAAACTGTTTCTTTTGTTATCAATTTATACAGAAATGCTAGAACCATCTCAAATATTAAGTCATTGCTGACAGGCTGTATGGGCATGTCGTTTTTTTATTAGGAGCGAATATTAGAATGTTCTCAAATTACGTCACTTGGTCACGTGTCTTTCGGCCGGAATCCAGGCCCAGTGGAACAATATGGCGATTACTAGTTAACTACGTCCTACTTGCCACTCGCAAGAGACGCCGGGAACCAGCGAAGAAAACAGTACCGTAAAGGAGCCACCTTTGGAGGTTCACGTCATAACAGCGCTATGTCGCCCGCCAGGGGCTTGGTGTTAGTCAGCATGGTCTCTACCGATCCCGGACACGTGGTACCACCACAGTGACGCCATTAGGTCGTCATATTTTGTAAATGCGTGCTTGCATGAAATATATCAACCTTCGAAATTAGTACCAATATTTAGTAGCATTTCATACGAGCACACTGTGAACGGAGCTAATACTGACCTGTGCAGGGTTATGATTTCTAATAATGTTTCTGGCTTCGTCTGCAAATAAATTGGTCGAGTATTGTCCTAGATACTTGGCGTGACACGTCATCTTCATTTCGTCGAAAGTCGTAGCCATGGTGACCCTGCATGGTTGAGTCATGGTTGAAATAATCTTCCGCGCCAAGATAAAATCCTGCAAGAGAGATACATTTATATATCACATTTGCTCGAAATAAAAATACAAATTTGTCTGTTGTGTCATAGAAACCCACTGCAAACATGGTTACTAAATTGAATGAAAGGGAAAATGATTTACAAATTTGTTATCTCAATGTTAAAGGAAGTTAGCAGCAAAGAAAATCATGTTGTATTGCTGTATTTTGCGGTGAGGCGGAACAGATTCGGGTTCATGGAATGTGTCCAAATGTCCGGTAATGCTTCCGAAGTGGCCTTGTCTTGTTTGTTCTGTTCTGCTCTCTTCTCTTCCGGGAATATAAATACGCATCCATCGATCTCGATACCATCGACTTCTTTTAGGAATACGACATATTATGCTGCCCAAGCCTCGTTGTTGAATTTTGCCCTGTATGTACAGTGCATTTTTCATAAATTTGAGACTGTCGGTTGTTGCTCGGGCCCGCTCATTGTGGTTAGGAGTTATTTATTCTTTTCGAGTGTAATGAAAAGTCATTGTCGGAATAATATTAACTCAACGAGCGAATATTGTCTTAGTTTCACTAATTGTATCTCCCCTTTGAAAAAAATGATGGTCTGAACAATCAATTGACGAGCCCCACGGAGTTTGGAGATTTTTTTTAGAATGTACACCCCCCGAACTGCTACACCGACCATATGTTGTCGCCATATCTAACAACGAGTAGTTCTAATCTCATTTATTATTCGCCACTCAGAGTTGGTATGCCCACCCGTGCACTCAAATTAATGTTTTGTACATGATGACAGATGTATATAAATAGGTATTATTTATTTCAGTTGACGAATGAACTCAGTGGTGCATGCATCACAACAAAGATTATATTCAGTTGTATGCTGTGACTCCTCGTGGTACAGACACTGCCCTCAACGGTCGCCATTGAAAAGCAATTATATACCGATAATGCCATTGATTTCTAAAAGTACATTTCAGTTTTTTCACAGTTATCTCCAGGGGATCTCCAGGTGATGGTCCCCTTGTTGTTTAGCAACAATCTATTTTTTAAGTTCAATTGCGGAATTAAAATGAATTCACTAATCCGTTATTAGCAATAAGATAAAAAGCACGTTAATTTGACAGCGTAGAATATTGGAACGTCACGTGACAACCCTGAAATATGTTGTATTATCTACAGTTTCATAGTTTTCGAAAATGTCTTTACACCCTGAAAGTCGTGTGTATTAAATTTATTCTCGTGATGCCTTCTATGACAATGATCAATATTATTTTTATAATTTATCAGTTAATGCCTTGAAAATTGTACAAAACTGTATTGATCAACGTTAATCTAAATATTTCATATCTGTGCAGCTGGCGTCGAAGTGATCCAATTATCATAATGTTGTCGCTGTATACCATCGATCTATATCGATATCTATAGAACAGTAATTCTGCTACTGAATGCTCACAAACAAATGAATGTACGTCTTCTGCTCACGGATGTATGTGTGCTCATATGAGCCCGTGATATATTCACGCGAGATTTCACAGATCGCGCGGTATCATAGTCTTACGTGGATGAGCCTGATCTGGCCATCTTTCAATCATGTTACAGAACAAAAAACAGTTCAGGACAGGCGACAGGAATTCATAATATAATTAGGCGGATAATAGACAAGTGCAGGCGTGCGCCATCTGCTGCACGTCTGAGTTAATCCTCGCTGTGCAAGTATAACAGAACAAATGGAAACCATTAACAAATCATATTAATAACGTATTCAATGTGCCACGCATGTAGTTTGACCTTGCCGATTTCAAGTTGTCAACTTTCTACTGAAAAATCACGTCCATGTTGAAAATACGCAGTGCGCCAAACAGATTTGGTGTACACGAAATATTTTCTGTCACAAATAGTTACAGAGAGTGATAGATGCGATCTTTGATATAGGGAAGAAATGTGTTAACTCCTTAATGAATTTACAAAGGATTGGGAGGGGGGACACACATTTTTTCTATACAGCCATGAGCTAACATCAACTGTAAACAACTCTACGCTTTAATTTTTGTTGTTAAAGTGTAAAAAGAACACCTTTCAAAACAAATTCATTAACTTACTACAAGTTCCGTTTTTTGCCGTGATAGAAAACCTTTTCTTATTTCGAATCAGGTTTCCAGTGTAAACAGCAAAGTTTCCTATAGATATTAAAGGGTGGTATTCGTTGCGCCACGCATGCGCGGGATATATGGTCTCCTATAAACAAAGATGGCGAATTTTTCGGTATCGAGGAGTCACTGGTGGTAAAACCTCATACTTGTGATTTCGATTAAAAGAGCGCATTGGATTGTGGGAAAAACAATGTTTATCAACACACATGTCGCACATGCAGTGTGCAGCGCAACGACTGCCGCGCTTTAAATGCAAATGGCCGCCGAGATGTCATAGAGAATAAGATAGTCAATAACCCCAGATATTTACATGACTCTTATGTACGTGTTACCTTCCACGTTTTGAATTCGTTTTATTAGCATTCGAAATTGTGTACATGTATTGCCATAAAACAGGAGATATCAAGTTTGTTTTCCATGAGACAAAACTTACTTCGAAAAAGGCAAACAAACATACCACGGGAGAAAATGTGCCTTCGCTGCCCTTCATCCCAGGATTGTACGCTTTCATGCTTCTAGAGGTTTACCGGGCCACCCCGTTAATGAATAAAGTGATATTACATTAAATAAAATGCCTCATTATTTCAAATAGTACACATCATGTGGCGATGGCAGAGGCAATAGTGTGAAGCAAAATCCTAATTTTTCATTGTAAATGTATACTCACCGAAGAAGGAATCAAAGCCTCGTTGTCGAGGAAGGCAGCCATCTTTATAAAAGCCGAGATGCCATTTCCCGACAAGATGAGTGGCATAGCCTCGTTCCCGGAGTTTTTCTGCCACGGTGACTTCTTCTAGGGACAAACAACGACGTTGGTAGTGTCCAAGAACACCATGTTGAAGACCGTATCGAATCTAAAGAAATTATAGAATCAATAATGTTCGTTATAACATGTTACACTAATCATTTTATTTATTTATTTATTTATTTATTTATTTATTTATTTATTTATTTATTTATTTATTTATTTATTTATTTATTTATTTATTTATTTATTTATTTATTTATTTATTTATTTATTTATTTATTTTTCTCATTGTAACGAGATTTGGATTCAATTTTATGTTTAACGTATGGCACAAATACGCTTTCAATTATGAATCTCTTTATTTATACATATAATTGTTCTATAATATATGTTAAAAGGGCAAGAATGTGGTTATCCAATCACTCCTAAACAACGTGTTACCGCTACGAACATATAACACAAATTTCTCCTAGATGTACTAACTGACTACAGACGTAATCAAAAAAGGCACAATATAGTTACTATAAACAACAGGCCATTCTTCGAAAACACGCACTTAAAATGATACTGTGTTGTACTGATTCGATATAATTAATGAAATTCTGGCTAGATAGATACGCACCGAACGAAGAACAGTGGACGACTTATGTTCAGTTGCCAAAATGGTTGGATCATAAGTCCCATAAAACAGTGTATTAAAACGCGTCAATAAATTAAGGTGTGTAAAGATCGTGTGTTTTATACTACTGTAGCAGCATATGTGATAATAACATCAAACGTGTCAAAACACGATAATTCCATTCCAGATTTAGTTATCTAGTTCGAACGGGAAAAGTACTGTCACGTGACTGTCGTTGGAAGACGACACTAACTAACGCAATTTCTGTTTTCTGACTGTCTTAAATCATGGTTCACCGTTTCTGGGCGTCGCGCATGCGTATTAGTGGTTTTTATTATTTTTTGTATCTGGGACAATATTACGTGTCAGCTTTTACTATTAATTTCAAACATAGCGAAATATGTCTTCATCACCTACAATACCTGGGGAGAAGCTGAAGTAACCTTTTCAGTATTTCCGGTTTGAAATTAAATTGAAATAACAGAGCGAACAATTTCGTTGTTGTACTGTATTTGAAGGCTATATCCAATACAGACTGGCAGACACATATATACAGAGTGTGTTGTTTGTTTCTAGTTTATTTAGTTTTAGTTTTCGAAATCTCACGGGTACTGCGAGACTGGCACGAGATTTGTAGGCAAAGCAGCAGTGTGTATTTGTTTAAATAAAGAATAAACCATTGCGTGTGTTCTGAACAATGCTCTGAGATTACCCTTTTGCAAAAAGAGCGAACACTACACGCAACTCCAGGGGTCAACACGTGGTGAAATTAATAATTAGTTTTCATGGGGAATGCTACCGAATATATGCACGTCAATTCTGATACCATACTGTAAATCTACTATAGAACACGTTGAAATAGCTGCATGCAATTTTAGCGGATTTGACTCTTGGCATGAATTAACATAATTTTAATTTAGCTAAAGTGTCGACTATCTCCCTGTGAGAATATATTTTCTGTTAAATTAGCTACATCTTGAATTAGCGAAATTACAGAATAGCTAAATTAACATGCTAGCTAAAAAGACATGATGTTTTACAGTATTCAATTTTGATACTTTGAGCAATTTCACTGGGTTTTAAGTTCTCCAACTTGACAGGGAAACAACGAGGTTTTTTGTTATTTTATCTGTTCACATGGATTTAATTTTTAACGGATTTTGCCTGTCTGCGAAAATAGAGAAATTAAAAATCAGTTGATAATTATGATAATGCGTTTACTGTAGTGTGTATACATTCATGATGCTCGGGCGTAAATAGCAACGCTACGTTCAGTAATACAACAAATTTAACTGATCGAGTTCAAAATAAACAAAATCAAGCAAAATCTGCCCATCAAAATACAGGAAATAGCATTTCAGTGAGTCTAGATTTTAATTTTTTGAGGCGGAGAATGTCCCCAACCCCCTAGTAAGATCACGCCTTCGGCGCTAGGTTGGTGAGCAGATCTCCGAGTCGCCGCCTCATGCAAAACTTTTGACTGTGAGGGTGAACATTTTATGTGAATGTCAACAAATTGAGCGCCGAAGGCCCTCTGAAACTAGACCCTCTGAAACGCTGTTTCCTGCATTTTAGGGAGCAAATTTTGATGGTAAACTTAGGTAAATTTCTCTTACAAATATAGATGGGTGTTTCACCTTATTTTATCGTGCCCCCACTGCCCCCCCCTGTCCCCACGGTGCCACCGCCACTGTATTGTACCTTTATGTGTAACCTATTTGGGTCACGTCTAAGGCGTATGTTTTGCATTAATCATATACACGACTTCATTATACCGTGTATATAGTTGAGCAACTGTGGAAAAAAAACGACACACGACTCAATATTGGAATATTGATCTTCGATCTTAATAAATGTACGATAACTATCAATCTTATTTCATATCATCGTTTCCATCATCAGAGTCATTCCAGTTGCAATTTTGCGTTTCTACCGTAACTACAATACCGTGCGCTGAGCGATTATTGAAACGCCGCATTCTTATTGGTCTTGTCTTATTACTTGTCCAGCTTAAGAAATCCTGGATATTTATCTAAGTACATCTCTTCGCAAGTGGTTTACTTGTGAACTTCTACGCGTAACGAAAATGCAAATTTAATAACCATAATGTCGATTTCTCCAGCTATCACTGCGAGTATATTGGATTTTTCGACCATCCAGGGTATTACATATGAAAATAAAGGACTCAGCACTGTCCATTATGCCCATTATAAGTGACCGGGATGTTGCCTTGAATAATGGTTTGACTCGCCCATTATTCCGCATTATTGATTTTTTTTATTCCCTAATCAGAGCTGACAATTCATCACAACACGCAACATTAAATTATATTGACTCAAAGATGACTGACAGAAAGAGGTTGATACACTGCACGGCACAACTGTTTGCATCGTATTCATCCATGCAGTTGATCACGTAATTTGTGTCCAATTGCTGCGAATAAAAAGATATACATCCTTGCGTATCCACGAGCGTACTGAGTAATTCGTACTGTGTTTTTGGAATCTGTACTATGACTAAGTCACTTATTACTTTGTAGCTTAAACTTACTTCGTTTGATTTATGCTTATATTTGGCCCGATATCTCTTGCCGTTCAAATTCTGGATAAAAAACGCAATATTTGTAAATTCAATTGGTATAAATTAATCTCATGTTTCCAAATAATTTGACAAATTCTGATATCCTCTCGTATTATTAGATTTTCTATGAAAATAAATATGTTAATCTGAATCAAGTATGTTTCACAAAGATAAAAGTCGTAATGCATCTTATATCAATAACACGTGGTACACAACCATAATTATAATTACCGTGAAGGAAATGCAAATGGTTGGTTCGATATTATTAACTCAAAACGTGGGCTAAAACATTTTCGATTGGCTGTAGTGTAGTTACCCACAAGCATAGCATTACATTTTAACGCTGCCATCAGCCGTTATTTTGCACACACAAGGGTAAAAATGAACAATGGTACTGTTTCGAACAAAATTGAAGATGGCCGCAGCTAAATTACCAAGACGGATTACATATATGCATAACACCAGCGATTTTCAACGCGTTTGACAATTTATTTGCCTGAACAAATCCAAATGATTTAAACCGCTCTGGCTTATTTTAAGAAAAGTGTCATTGTTCAATTTATCGGAACTATAACGCATACTAGAGGTTGATCAGACGTTTCGTTCAAAATTGAATGACGACTCAGCGAACACAGTCATGTTTCATGCTATTTATAATAATGAGAAAAATCATCGTCCAGATATAGATATTCTGTACGCCACAAGCTGACCCATCTTACTGTTTGTTAACACTGATATTTATCATCTTTTCAATTTTATGTATGTACACCATGGCAAAATGAATTAATGCTATGTCATATTTGCACTTAGTGACTTAGTCAACTTCGTCAAAAACAGTCTATCATAGATGTTTGTTATTTTTATGTGAATCGATTTCATTTATAAATTGAGAGCTAAAACACAGGTTTCAACATACATATTTGTGATAATTATGAAATAATGATTGAGAAAATATATGTATGATTATCAAGAAAAAAAAATAAAATTTAACATGTTGACTTATATTTTATTTTTATTTTGTGTATATTATTCCCTAAACAAAATTCGTTTATTAAATTTCGTCTCACAAAATAGTTTTTTAATTCGTGTAGTTAATCTATGAAAGTATTTGTTAATTAAATCTTATTTAACTCTGAGTGATGTTATAATGCGTTGTCCGGATAACATTGAGGTCATGCTTCGCCTGGCCTTGTCCTAGATTATGCACAGTCCGCCTAGGTTATAATAAGATCATTCGTTATATATTACAACTAGAACCACTAATTTCACATTCGCGTAAAGCTCTCTTAAATAAATGCTTATCATTGTAGTCACAATAAATCGGAATGTTCACTATTGTATATCCTGAGAAATATGGGCGATGTTGCTCTGTGTATGTATGTATGTATGTGTGTCAATACGGAAAATGAATTATACATAACTGTACGTTTAGAATATGTGAAATCACGCTGGTCCTTTAGACAGTAAGTTAGATGTAAGCATTTCACAAGCCATGTAACACTATTTATATTTTATTCCTACATTTGCATTTTCAGGTTCTTTTAATATATTAAAGTGATTACGTATTTACTGTATTTCTTTTTTTATATAATTCAATATTATACGGTGCATAAATTTACATATCAACGCTGTCATGTATGTATGTATGCGGATAGTGATAGCGAAAACAACTCAAAACAACTGACAAGTACACTACACTACACTACACTACACTACACTACACTACACTACACTACACTACACTACACTACACTACACTACACTACACTACACTACACTACACTACACTACACTACACTACACTACACTACACTAGAATCAGTAAGGGAAATTTATGGGTATTTTCTGCTCTACATTGATAAAGTTTCGAACAGCGTTTTACGTTAGCGTATTTTTTTCAGTATATCATGTTTAATATTGGTGTGTTAGACTATGTTTAAAATTGTAGTTATCTTTGGGGGGGTCCTTACAACAATCTCGTATCTTCTCTAAAAATCGAAAACTCGGAAACTTTCTTTAAAACTTTGTGTTTAAGGACATTTTTTAAGGATGTAAACACTTTAAGTCCACTATGAGGTACCTTCAATATCTATTTATGCTGTACAAGAATAAAATACAGGCGACATTTTACATTCAATAGAAAGGTTTTAGGGGTAAAGTTAAAATCGCATTCCCTTGGTCGGGTACCATTTACCTTAATGAGCTTGAATTCGATACGTATGCAAATAAGCTTAATGGCCCTGACATATACACTACCATTTGCTCCAAACAATTTTACCGTCGATGTGTTTGACTAGGTGCTTCATGTTCATAAACAGTGAGGGCCTACTGCCACTACTACAGCTGCCACTCGGCATCAGACTATCATGTCATCTCTCGCTAACTGAGATAAATATTAAATTACCCAATATTTTTGGTGTAAATAAAATACAGGATCGCCCCGGTGAGTCTCACGTTGTCAGGGCTGAACTATTAACATTTAAAGGACATCGATACGTTGTACCATGACGCACTAAAAGCCTGGAAATGTTGTGCCAAGCTTATGCTGTATTTCAGTTCATTGCTTGTTTCTCGTGTTAGATAAACGTCAAATAAAGGTATTCCTTGTGAAACGTTGTTGTTATAGAAGACTCGACACTCAGAGTTACCGATATAGTGTCGACGTAAAAGGTATAATTAAAATTCATAACAAATTACACTAAGGGCGTGTCGATTAAATGAATCAGGAAATGAATGTGAATAATATGGTGGTTACCTCGTATCGTCCTGTCAAAAAGACACTCCGCGACGGGGTGCATATTGACGGCATGTAGTAACTGTTGAGTTTCACGCCTTCTTCGGCCAGTCTATCGATGTTCGGCGTCTTCATCGTTGGGTTGTGGTATCCAACATCATTCCAACCTAAGTCGTCCGCTAAAATGAAGAGAATATTCGGCGGCCTCTGCGCTACAGAGACTCCGAGTGTGCCCACGACTGTAACAAACAGCAGCATCAGTGCGGGAAATGGGCGTGGAAACGCCATATTTGTGTTTCCTTGCCCTAGAAAATATAATGTCAACTTTGTGGAATCTGCCACAAATGAAATAAAAAAAAAGATGGCTGCTCAATTAAAACTGACTTTAGCTGATATTGTGAAATGAACGAACAATGTGACGTGACGTCATCGCACAGGATACACAATCTGTGCGTTCCGTGTAATTCTTCATGCAAGCTGTTACCATAATTATATGTGCAAATCACAATTGTAGTACTTGCTAGATACAAAGGCGCCTGTGTCACGTGTTACAAATATGCATAAGTAATGTATGGAAATATTTTCTAATATCAAAAACTCTATTCACGTTAATAGTACTTTTCTCATACCCGTATGTAATAAAATTATGTTTATTGGAGAAAGTAATTAAATTAATTTTAGTAATTGCAGTTATATAAATAAATAATAAATGGATGTGAAAATTAATATAATGCGACCAAGATTTTTCTGGAATTCGTGATGTTTTTTTATAATTATTTGAATCGCAATTCCGTGCAGTCGACCTTATTACCACGGTATTACTCGTAGGTTTACTCTGCTCTCAAAATATAGAGTGTTATGGTCTTCAGGCTGCATAAATTAATGACAAACTATGGCAGAAGTAAACACGTCGTCCAATTTGCGAATACATTGACATATCCACGCATATAGTAGTAATGTTTTCTAAACATTCCAAGTGATTGTCATAGGAAATCTATCATATGGACAAGGAAAATGACCGCTGTTAAAAATTAATTAAAGTATATGGTATATTTTTAGGTGTTTTTTTTTTGTGTAAGGCGACAGTTTTGGACATTGAATGTCACTGTTGTCTCTCCTGACTTTTTTTTGTATGTGCAAATTACAAGTGCTTGTGCTGACACATATTTTGGACTACATGACAGGGCTGTGTGGCCAAATTCCTATCAAATGGCAATTTTAATGCGCTATCCTGGCGTCAACCAGGTTTGGTCGAACACAGGCACCTGCGGACTTTAACCATGGTTCCCGCAAATGATTCTCGGCCAGTTGAATTGGCCTTCCCATTGAGTCTGTGGTACACTCACGACCCTTTTGATGTTCAGCCTAAGATAGGATCACGTGCCTGATGCGACAACCACTACCAGTGACTGGTATATGGCATATTACTACACTGTAAATTGTACATTTTATACTATCGGCACAACCAACCAATCACACTGATTGTTATAAATATTTATAAATGTCAATGGCAGTTGAATCCAACCGCGGCCGGCGAAACAATGGACATTGCGGTGCGCAGTGACGTCATTGAAAAAAGTTCCAGTTCATTCCACGGGTCGGAAGAACCCCCTCTTCCAGTCTCAGTTTGAATTGTGAAAGTTAGTATGTCGATAGTTAGCTTCCATTATACATATTATAAATTACATATATTTTTTTCATTGATTTTTAAATTAAAAAAAAATGTTACGTGTGATATCGTAAAATAACAGTTTGTCAGTTTGTACCAAGTCGTAGCATTCTGTCTGACAGGATATGGCATTCTAACTTATCGATCGGTCATTTGACATGTGATATCGATAGGATTTCGCGCTGTTTCAAACTAATCCGATCAACTGCTGAGTCAGAGATTTTGATTCAATATATCATTGAAATAATTAATAATCACATTTAGTTTTATAGAGTAATTATTGTAACTTTCATCCAATCCAACGGGACAGTAAAAACAACAGTAGGCTCTACACATCCTTAATTTCTGGCGATGGTTATTTGTTCATCACTGCTGTAATCACTTCATGTTTAATTTTGCGTAATTGTGTTAAATTTAGTCTACTCATAAATACAAATACCCAGACTTTATCCATTTTGCAGTAAACTGTACTCCTGGGCAATATAAGGATATTGACTTAAAAAAAGGTTTCGAGAAAATGGTGGTTGTATTTTAATGCATAGTGCCATTTTGGCGTATTATAACGCTTCTATCATAAATTTCGATGGCAGAAATATTATGCCATATTTTAAATTAAAGTCTGATGACACATAAATCGCATGTACATTGGTTTATTATGCCAGTGTAAACGAATGTCCTATGAAATAACATTCTTTTGTGTTTTACATTGACGTATTTTGGGGAACTTGTTCTAATATTTTTTTCAAAAAACGCTATTATTAGAACACAATGTTAAAAGAAAAATTGCTTTTTGACACTTTTTTTAAAAAAATATGACCATAGTACGGTTTCGAAAATGGCAAATATAACACAGTACTCGTTTTCTACTGAACAACGAAGTTCAGTTTATTTGACTGCCGTTAATACAAATTTTGCGTACACCTTAGTGGATACACGGTTTGAACGAAAATGGAATGCGCTGTGTCTTATCCCGCCCACGAACGCTCGCCCGGGTTTGGTGGTAATATTAACTAAGATTTACATGATAATTACATTGCCTATAATTAATGATGTGCACGATATATTGTTACTTATACTGTCCTGTTGGATGGACTAACAATTACAATAATTACCGTAAATTTGCGGCTCTAACTGAATGTTATTTTTCATTTCAATTATATACTTAATTGAAATCTTGAATCAACAGTTGTTGCCTACCGTCCTTGATACGTATAGCTAATCTGTCGTGGAGAATAATCCTTTGCTATATGTCGGCCTTGCTCTACTTTTTTGGTGGAAGGTCATTTTCTTTTTCTGGTTGGGAATATTGATGGTTAGGGTAAGAGTCAATACACTATTCAGTGAATCAACCAATTATTCCGCCACAGTCGTCGCCCCGCGTCGAGTTCAAAGTGGTTGCATGCGATGTATTAATACAATAAAGTTTGAACATGCTGTGCGCCGATTGCTGCGATTTAAATTAAATTAATTATGTGTTAATTATTGGCAATAAATGTTTGTCATGATATTAGAGAAGACAAATGAATGTGGCCCAAAGAACTTAGATTAACGTTAACTTCAAAGACTATGTGGCCAACTGATTGCGCGACGAGGTAGATGACTACTAGTCATGCAGAATGCCATCAAATATATCTTAGCGTGTATATTCTTTAAAAATTTCCGTTGGCCATGTCAAATCAGGTGCGCATCTCATATTTGGAATGTCAATATATAAATCGTGATTTTAAAGATCAAACTCATTTCAATTATTTTACTAGCAACCTTAAACATTTAAAAATAAAATATAAAATAATCATCACCCTTAGACCCACGTTTTGTTGACACGATATCTTGCAAACTATTTTCCTGATTTTAATCAATAATGGCTTAAAATTACGATTTGAACACGAGGATGAGCATTCATGAAATATTGATATAAATGCAATCTAACAACAGTTTACATTTACCGCCGTGTGTGATCCTCTAATGTCAACACCTATTTGTGAGAGTGAGAATACAACACAAGAGCCTCAGTTTTTAGTAACCATGAGATCAGGGATACGTTTACTAACAGGACGACAGGGGCATGTACGGCAAGGTTTTTTGCTAAAATGACGCACTTAGTGTCACAATATCGCAATACGTCTCTGTATTAAAGACCATGGTATAGGCCAAACAATATCTCTACAACAGCATTACAGAAGATGATGATGTACTCGGGGCGTTCAATAAGTAATGGCCTTACCCATTTCCCATAGCAGGAGATTATTGAAATTTGGCACTCAGAGTTATGCATTTCTCCCATCGTTTGATGCAGCTCTGGACACCGTTTTTGTCGAACACCCCAGGTTGGCCCTCCAACCACGTTGTAACTTCAGAAATTAAGGCTGCATCATCTGGGAAACGCATTCCTTTCAAAAATAACTTCATAACTGGGAAGAGATGAAAGTCAGAGGGTGCAATGTCGGGAAAGTGAGGGGGGATGGGGGAGGATTTCATAGCCACACGCCCGGGCTTCTGATCTGACGGCATGCGAATTGTGGACCGAAGCGTTGTCCTGCAGGAGAAGGGAAAACTTTGCTTATCTTGCCCCGCCTCTTGATTTTCATAACTTCTCTTAATTTCATCAAAAGTGAAGCGTAGTAGGCTCTTGTAACTGTGGTACCCTTTGCCAGGAAATCTGTCATCACTACTCAGTTCTGGTCCCAGAAGACTGTGAGCATGACCTTGCCAGCGGAGGGCTGCACCCTTGCCTTCCTTGGTAGTGGTGAGTCCAAGTGCTTCCTCTGCATTGACCGGGCTTTGGTCTCTGGATCATAGTGGTGGACCAAAGTTTCATTCTGTGTAATCAGTATTTTAAAAGTTTAACTCATCTTCTTGGCATATCTCCAAATTCATTCTCGAGCACTCAACGCGTTCTTGTTTCTGGAAAGGTGTCAGCAACCTGGGAATCCATCAGACACCTTATGCATATGCAAAAGTCATGAATGATAGTTTCCACAAACCCTGTACTAATCTTGACCCCTTGGGCTATTTGGCGAACAGTAATTCGTCGATCTTCCAAAATGGCTGCTTCAACTTGACGGGAAGATGCTTCATCAATGGCAGAAGAGGGACGACCAGGTCTGGGAGCTGTTTCCACAGACTTTTGGCCATGTTTGAATTCACGATGCCAGCGTTTTACAAGGTCATATCATCACCATAAGTTTCTTTAATTTCCTCAAATGTCTCCTTTGATATGCGTACTTTCAAATACAAAAACCGGATCACTGACACTCAACTGGCCCATTTCACACCTAACTCGGTTCAAACACCTGTGAATCAGAAACCACTATTAGTTCAGAACTGTTTTTTGCAACATAACTCATAGAGAAGTAAATCATAACACATGCCAAATTTCATCTAGATCAGACAACTGGAAAAGGGTCAGGGGCATTAGTTATTGAACTCCTCTCGTATATTCATCATTGCTACACCTTCTATGCTATGAGACACATTCGTACTCGAAAGCTGTTCCGCATTTATTAACTCAACTGACCTGTAGTCTAGCTACAAAGGTGGATTATAATTCTCTGCATATTATATATAAAATTAATTCGACCATGTCAACAGAAAACACACACAGAACTGAGATAATACCTCTCGTGTTTGTTTTGCATGTTGAATAGGGATAAGAATCGTCGGCTGT